AATCATGGAAGAAAAGTTTGTTATCCCCACTTCAATGCCTTCCGTGCTGGGGAAGCTCCAGTACGCTGACTCTCATGTCTGGGGCCGAGCGGGGCGCCTAGCGCTGGCGGACCTGCGGGAGTTGGGCCACACTTCTCCCTTGAAAGTGCCTCTCGATGAATCCCAGGTCAAGGCCTTTGGGGTTTTGAAGGATCGGTTGTGCTCGGGCCGACCAAAAACTTTCGTGGCGGATGACATTCAACGACCAGTTTTGATCTTTACGGATGGCGCTTTGGAATATGACAATGGTGAGCCAAAGGCTACGATCGGTGGCGTTTGCTTGAGGCCTGATGGATCTTGTGAGATTTTTGGTGCTGCGGTTCCTGACCGTATCTTGGAAATCTGGCAGGAAGGTGGAAAGACTCATGTGATTGGCCTTGTTGAATTGTACGCATGTGTCGTTTCTTTGTTGCATTGGAAACCCGATGTATCATCGAGGCGTGTCATCTTGTTTGTTGACAATTGGCCAGCACTTGATGTTCTTGTGAAAGGCACCTCCCTTCAGCCTGAGTGGAGGGATTTGCTTTTGCTTCTTGAGGATCCGTTGGAAGACAACTTCATGCTGTGGGTTGCACGAGTGCCCTCTTCGTCCAATATAGCCGATCCTCCGAGTCGGGGCTCAACTGTGGAGCTTGACTTCTTGCGACCATACAAATGCGTTGAGCCCGTGTGTCCAATGACGAAACACCTTCTCACGTCCACAATTTGCTGAAGCAGACCGGGGTGATTACTAATGAGATCTGGACATGCAGTCCAACCATGCTTCTCATATATGCAACAGTTTCTCAAGTGCCGAGGAACCAGATGAACAATGGAAATGCAAACCATATGCCAACTTGGATTCACCCTTGTCCGCCAGATGAGCAAAAAGAGAAGGCGCCAGTTTTTGATGTTCTCGTGATTCATTCCGTGCTGCATTATTTTAGGATTTGGTTTGTGTTTAAGTTTGAGATGGTGTATGTTGTTCTCCCCCCTGTTAATATATGCGTTTGATGCGACGACGCGTATATCGACGATGTTTAATATATGAATCCGTGTATGTATGAATACCCGTGCTATGCCGTTTGTATGTGAGGGACAAGGTCAGTTTATAAGGTGCAGTGATGAGAGCCCAATGGAGCATGGATGGAATCTTTTCATTTTCACTGCGCTTCTTGGTTTTGTGATGATGGTGCCCCTCATGTTCACCTTGCTTGGTTGGTTTTCGACTTCTATGGAGGCTGACACAGCCCTGAATGCCACCACAGAGCCTTCCACTGAGGCCGCAGCTATGAGCACCGCCAATCCATCTGGAACCAGTGCAAATCCAGTTGAAGTCACAGGCAATTCCTACACTGTGGCAGTCGACACACCTCTTGGTCCTGGCGAGGTGACAGTCTTCACTGGTGCTCGAAGCTCCAATGAGAGCGTTCCCATTTGGGGTGGTGTGGATGAATCTGGAATGCCGAGGTTCAGCACGGCATTTGAGTTGCCAGCCCGTGGAGATGCCTGGTCGCCTGAAGCCATGATCGCATGGATGTACGAGCGATGCGCGAGAAGACATGGCATTGCTGCGACAGATGAGAGGAGGCAGCTGTATGCCGAGCGCATGGCCGTTCTCAGAGGTGTCATGCAAGGCTGCAGGTCCACAGATGCTGAGGTGAGACTGGAAGCAAGCCGTATGACCAGGTCAATGACAGACATCTCTGAGGATGAGAACAGCCCTTCCTATAGGCTGAGTACATCAGAGTTTTGCACGACGCTGGACGAGGCCGAAAGAGCAGTTTCAGTTGGCCAGCAGCTGGTGGACACAATTGGAAGTGCCAGCGCATCCAGCAATCCAACAGCTGGAAGTGCTGCAGCTAGCAGCGCTCATGTGAATGCGGTGGCAGATGCAATGATCCGCATGCTCAGCGCCGAGAACCCTGAGGAGGAGACATCAGAGAGCGATGCTGCAATGGAAACTCAGAGCGAACGAGCTCGACGTTATGGCAGCTCTGAGCTCTGTGAAGTGAGCGACCCAGATGAGTGGATGCTGTATCACCATGGGCCATCTGACAGTGAAGACTCAGAAGCCTCGTGAAGTGGGTGGCAACACTCCGTAGCTAGGTAGCCATTCTTTTAGGAAGTGGAACCTGGCAGTAGTCCCTAAGGGACTTGGCAAGTAGTGGCACGTGAAACTACGCCCCAGCGGCAGTGTCCAGGCCACTCAAACTTTTGAACTTTGGCCGCGCAAATGGCCGTAGAATTCATGCTGCTACATTGACATTTGCAGCAAGGTGGGGTGCAACACATTTGCGTTGAGTGCATACATAGCATTCTGTCGTGTTGCCACTCCTTTGTGACATACATTTGATCAGTGTAGTATCAGTTCTTATCTTGAGGCGCTTTCCTCTCAAGGAAAATACGCACATATTGATAGATAGATAGATAGATAGATACATTGATTGATTGATTGATTGATTGATCATGAAACAACATGGAACACCAGATGCACAAAAAAATTCGGGTGCCGGCACCTTTTTTTCTGTTGCACTTGGGACGGCTCACCCTCCAAGCGGATGTGGACTATGGGTTGCTGACATATAAAATTTACCATTTTGCACTGATGTATTTTGCAGATTTACCATTTATATATGGAAATTATGTTTTTTTGCAAATTTACCATAATATATGGATGTTCTTCTATTTTTTGGTGTTGGAATTCCACTATATCTCACTATGTCCATAGTACTCGTGCATCCATAGTGTTTGTTTTTTTGTTTCATAGAATTGGATGATGGGAACATTTACAAGAAAACCCTATATTTGATGGTAAAAACCATGGTTTCCTGTAGATTTTCCCTTAAACCAATCTAATGCTTTTTGTTGGCTGAATCCCCGCAACAAACTGCTAAATCCATGAACTCTGTTGGTTGCACTGACGCCATGTTGCATCGGTGGCGTGTCCGCCATGCAGTGCTGGCTGCTTGCAATGGCAGCAGCAGTGGCCAATGCTGGAACGATGGGGAGGGGGCAGCAAAAAGGATCATTTTTGAAGACGATTAACATGTAAAATTTTGGAATTATAGTGGGGATTTTCATATTTTCAGCTCTTTCGAGACGCATCGGCATGGCTCAAACTTATCGGCCCTTCATCATCAATTTTGTGAGTCAATCCATGCCGCAAGTGTGGAACCACACATGCATCTCTGGGACGTGAAAAATGCCATTTAGTCCAGTCCGAAGTTGCTGAAATTAATAATAATTAAGATGCTTTCTTATTTTCCCTCCAATTGACTCTGCCATACGCACTATCTTCACTGCCGACTCTATCTTAACTTCCGACTCTATCTTAACTGCCGACTCTTCCAACATTAAACTCACCCAGCATGACACCGCTGGGATGCGCATTTTTTTTTTTTAATGGAGAAAGTTCTTGCACCAAGCGATTCAGAGTTGGTTGAACTCTTCAACAAACATTGGATTTAACTGATTCAACTAGTTCAACCACAGTTGGCATATCTTGGCCACCAGGAGGAGGCTTCGCGCCGTGTTGGGCCAGCACGGGCTACACCTACGAGGCGGAAACTTTCATGGCTGATTTCACAGAGAATTTGTATGGAGAAATGGGGAGAAAATATATTGGGTCTAATGGGGATATACCCGACCTGGTCAACTTTCCATAGGAAAATGGTGGTTTAATGGTGGTTTAATGGGACTTAATGGGATTTAATGGGATTTAATGGGATATAACCTCTGGTAATTTGACTTAGCTATTGAACATGGCCATAGAAATAATGGATTTACCAATTAAACATGGTGATTTCCCAAAGTTATGTGAAAGTTTACCAGAGGGTACAGCCAAAAGAAATGGCTATATTTAGTTGCGGCGAAGCTTTCCCGACTTCCAGTCGTGGCTTTTTGCAAAACGCAGGGGAACTCTGGTGATCTCAACGCGGTATCTACTTATACTTAGGTCGTATGTCATGTTGCGTTCAGGTGGGGTAAACTGAGCTTGGATTGGAGATGTCACCATGTTTTAACACGGAATTCTGGGATTTTTCTCGGATTTTGCCACTGGGGGCCCAGCTTCTTTTTGGACGTTTCAAGTCATCTTGTGCCCCTGGAATGCCCCTGGAATTGGAGAAACTAGAATTCATGGCTGGGAATGATCCACCTTATATCGTATACCCTCTGGTAAACTAACATAACTATGGAAAATCACCATTTTTAGTGGGAAAATCCACTATAAATGGCCATTTTCAATAGGAAACTGTTAAATTACCAGAGGGTATATCCCATTAAATCCCATTAAACCACCATTTTCCTATGGTTTTCCTATGGTTTTCCGGGTCAGAAAGTCAGTGCGGTTTCATTGATGATCTTGGGATCTTGACATTGACCAAAGACCTGGCCGTCGTGTTTTCAACCACGTTGACTAAAATCTGGGTAGTAGAGCAATGAACATGTCTACAATAAGGCAACATAACCCAGCTATATCTATCTATCTATCTACCTATCTACCTATCTACCTATCTAGCTATCTATCTATCTACCTATCTACCTATCTACCTATCTACCTATCTACCTATCTACCTATCTATATTTGATGAGCTCCAGTCTTGTATGGTTTGAAGCCAATGTTATTTAGAGCGATGAAAAAGACATTGTCATCATCCAGCTATGCATTGGTTAGAACTCAGCTGTGCTTTTTGGTTATTCCAGGATTTTTTGCCAGTTGCCACATTGCCAAGCTTAGTTACCCTCTGGTAATTTAACAGTTTGCTATTGAAAATGACCATAGCAATAGTGGATTTTCCCATTAAACATGGTGATTTTCCATAGTGATGTTAGTGTACCAGAGGGTAACCATCGTCATGAACCAACTTGGCCAACTTGGCCAGGCGCAGCACCGCCAGTATGGATTATTGGGTTGGACATCCGCCTGTTGTTTTGCAGGACTGCTGTGAATCATCGAATAACCTGAGCGGCCAGTGCTTCGACGCTGTCTTCACTCGGGATTCTTGGCATCGATGGGTTTTGAGCATTAAACTTGGGATTCAATCATGAATCATACCAAAAAAAACAGGGGTCAAACTCAAGGCCCAGCTCAAAAGTTGGGACATTCATCAGGCTACCCAGGGTGAGAGGTTGAACCATCAGTAAGTAAGTGTTAATCCATTTCTTGGGCTGTGGCAGGGCAGTTGTTAACATTGTTAACCTACCTGTGGTTTGTCCATCTCGTAGCATCCACGTGTTTCCCAGGACGTAACCATACATAGTGGTGCCCCAGTTCGATAGCTAAGTTGGTGAACAAATCTCCAATTTCACTATGGTTTATGGTATTTATAACGAACTAGTTACTGGGGCGAATCGTTAACCAACAAACATATCTTCGGGGCCTCACGTAACCATAGTGTTTATCACTGTACACTCTCGAAGTTCCGGTTTTGAGGAGCGCTGCTGTATGGAATCAGACAATGATCCGGAGGTGCCACTTGGCTTTGCTAAAAATTGACATCCCAAGAGTGACTTGATGCGAATATATTGTCCATAGTTATGTGGTACCCCATTTTTACGGGGAATTTTTTTCTTCCTCCCCGTGGATTTTTTTTCCCGGCTAAGTTCTCGCAGACTGGTGTGCCAGGGAAGCAAGGCAGCAAGCAAGCAGGCAGGCAAGCAAGCAAGCAAGCAAGCAGGCAGGCAGGCAGGCAGGCAAGCAAGCAAGCAAGGCAGCAAGCAAGCAAGCAAGCAAGCAAGCAAGCAAGCAAGCAAGCCAGCCAGCCAGCCAGCCAGCCAGCCAGCCAGCCAGCAAGCAAGCAAGCAAGCAAGCAAGATGAAGGTCTAACCGCGGGCCAGTCAGTGGACACTGCCAGACCTCAACTGTGGGCCCCAGATCTCAGTGGGCACTGCCGGGCCTCAAAAACGAGCTCCACATGTTAGTGGGCACTGCCGGACCTCACTTGCGGGCGTCAAATTGCAGTGGGTACTGCCGCACCTCAACCGCGGGCGCCAGATCTCAGTGAATGTCCGAATAGATGCCAAGAATGCGCGAATTTAATGAATGTCTGAAACGATGCCACGTAGAATGTGAAAAAAGATGCCAGATAGAACGCCAGAAAGAATGTCAGAATAGATAGATAGATAGATATATATATATATATTATTCATTGTATATATATACTTATTTATTATGTATTTCTTTATTATATATTTATTATAATACCAGTTGAAATTTTTGTTACTAAATCTGAGGCCTCAGGGCCGTTACAGAATGGTTTTTGGCTACCATTTTGTGCAAAATTTTGACCCTGGGTTCTGCCATCTTGTAAGTGGACCCCCCCCTGGTACCGGAATTTTGCATTGGAAGTGCGAGTTTGTTACCCTCCAGTCCCGACCATTCTGTCGGAGTCTGGAGGGCTAATCAATAACCACTACAAATTGGATGGATTCAAAGCGTAAATGGATAATACTCAACTATAGCCCCTACAAACTGGATGGAATCAAAAAATCACAGAATAATTTTCATAGCCTAGGAGATCTCAAATAAGAGTGTATATTGAATGCATCAAGTTCCAATGCAGTCTGATAAGTGCACTTTATTGATGCCAACGTGAACAAATTTAACATCAGTCGCGACTTGCGATTTATGTCATTTCTCATGGAAGAAGAAGAATCAAATGTAGAATTTTTGTGCATCAAGTTTGTTGCTTCGACAGCCGCATGAATGAGCCATTTTGGTATTTAATGTTTAGCTTGGCCACTCAGACAGCGTCACGCCAAAACAGACGGATGAACGCAAAAGAACGGAAAAAATGAACCGCGACTCGGGTTGGCCGGGCTGTTGCAGGTTACTTCCCAGGGATCCTAGGATAGTGCGAGTATAGCCACCCCCAGTCCCCACCATTCTGTAAAGGGCAAATCGAGCCAACGGATGCGAGCGGATGCGAGTCGAGCAAAACCGGTGACTCATTTTGTAACTAGGGGCCAGCTTGGACTGCCATTTTGTAACAAAAACCTTCCTCGGTGAACGTTGGGTTCTGCCAACTTGTAAGAAGGGCACCTTGGGGACGCCGTTCTGTAGCTACAAAATGGGGCCCCCAACCCCTCGGGTCCAATCTGAACGGGGATTTATTATACATTTTGATTATATATTTTGATTAAAACTAATTCTTATATATATATTTATCAATTATATATATATATATTTATCACATACATATATATATTTATTGTGCATATATGGATTTATATATATACATGTAAATATATTATAAATAAATATATATTTATTATATACAATAATAATATATATATATATATTATTTATATGTATATATATATTATATTCAGGGATGGATGGATGGATGGATGGATGGATGGATGGATGGAAAGATAGATAGATGGATAGATGGATATGTATATGGATAGATAGATAGACAGATATTTGCCAGAAAGTATGTCTAGATGGCAGTGATCATAATACATGTTATACCATGGAAGAAGAAGAAGAACCAAAGTGATGTGAAATTCAGAAATTGCAAAGAAAAACCTGCAACTTTGGCGACCCAGGTATGTATATATACTTATGTACAGGTCATCATTTAGACACATATTTTGTGGCTTTTTATTTGCGCATATCCAACAACAACAGCAACAACAACCATAACAACAATAAACACAATAACAACAACGATCAGAACAGCAAGCATCACAACAGCAACCATCACAACAACAACAACAACAACAACCACAACTACAACCACAACCACAACCACAATCACAACCACAACCACAACCACAACCACAACCACAACCACAACCATCACAACAACAACCATCGCAACAACATCACAAGAACAAACATCACAACAACAAACATAACAAAGAAACAGCAACAAACATTACAACAACAGACAGCACAACAACAAACATAACAGCAACAAACGTAACAACAAATACAACAACATAGAAGGTTCCAGCTCCCAAATTCTACAAATAACATGCAAGCTGAAAGGTTCCTGCGCGCAAATGCGGCAAACAGCATGATAAATAGAAGGTTCCTGTGCCCAAATGCGGCAAATAGCATGCAAAATAAAAAGTTCCAGCGCCAAAATGCTGCAAATAGCATGCAGCATGGAAGGTTCAGCTCCAAAATGCTGCAAATAACACGCAAAATGAAAGGTTCCAGATCCAAAATCTTCCAATCCTCATGCAGCACGGAAGGGAAGTGACAGGATAGATGCAGGGGACGGAAAACAGAACAGATCAGGAAAAAAAATCCCCAGGGCAGGAGAAAAAAATTTCCCGGCGAGATTCGGCACCTAGTTATGTTATGTACTATATATATATATCTGGTTCGTGGTTTGGAAGATTTTTTATTTTCCACAATAGTTGGGATGACGATCCAATCTGACTAATATTTTTCAGAGGGGTTGAAACCACCAACAATATATATATAGATACCCTCTGGTTATTTAACATAGCCATGGAAAATGGCCCATTTATAGATGGTTTACCATGGTTTACCGAACTAAAAAATGGTGATTTTCCATGGCAAACTGTTAGTCATAACCAGATGGTATATATCTTTGAAAGCCTGTATGGGAACGTTGCTCGAAATCCGGGAAATGGATGACATGAATAGCATCCGGTGAAGATCGCCAACACGAGTGAGGCTGTTTCACCAGGAGTTTCCAACACGGAAAACAATCAGTGCATGGTCCGTTTTCAACCAGCAAACACATTTTTTTGCACGTAGAAATCGATGATCATGAGAATCTAAGCCAAGCATTTATTCGATGACCATCAAATATAGATTTTAAATATATTTTAAATGACCATTTTAAATGAATATCTAATCATCATTTTAAATCATTTGATTCGATGACCATCCAGCATCACATGGAAACAGCATGGAAAAATCTTCATGGTTCTGTTCCGGGATGATTGTTGAAGTTAAGAACCAACAGGCCAATGATCATTCCAATCACCATTTTTCATAGGAAAACCATAGGAAAACCATAGGAAAATGGTGGTTGAATGGGATTGAATGGGTTTTAATGGGATATACCCTCTGGTAATTTGTTTGCTATTGAACATGGCCATAGCAATGGTGGATTTACCCAGCTATAAGATGGTGATTTTCCAGTTCGTTATGTGACAGTGTACCAGGCCGGTTACCTGCATTGAGTTTTATGTTGCTTTAGAAAAGTCCATATGAGTCCATTTTCCAGCATTTTGGGCATTTATGCAGGTTCCAATATTTCTCCAATTTAGGTTCCTTGGTGTTCCCACCATCTGTTGCTGATTCAGTTCTCCACCACTTTTGGCGAAGTTCAGTGCACCATTTCCTCATCTTACTGGTGCGTTTTACGTAGGGAATTTTCGGGAATGATCCATTTCTTCACTAGTACCCTCTGGTAAACTAACATAGCTATTGAAAATGGCCATTTATAGTTGATTTTCCCATAGAAAATGGTGATTTTCCATAGTTATGTAACAGTTTACCAGAGGTTATATCCCATTAAATCCCATTAAATCCCATTAAACCACCATTTTCCTATGGTTTTCCCAGCAATCCCCAGCAACCCATCCAGCAACCCATCTGCCAGTGTTGGCACTGGGCTCGCTGGAACCTGCAGAGCATGCTGCGACTTATTGACGCCCAACAGGTCACGGGCAACCGTGGAGCAGCGGCGGTTGGGAGGTGATGGATTTTTTGGGCCATACCCCCTGGTAAATTAACAGTTTGACCCTGAAAATCACAATTTTTTAATGGAAACTAGTCTTCCAACCCCTATCTGCCAGGGTCTATGTTAATTTACCAGAGGGTAGAATTTGTGTATCGGAACAGTTACAATGTGAGGCCCCAGTTCGATAGCGTTCAGTTGGTGAACATATCTCCAATATCTATGGTTTATGGTACACAAATAACTATAGTTAATGGGATTTATAAACCAACTTATAACTGGGGGGTACCACTATGTACCTCTGTTGCTTTATGACTTTTTATAAGCTCCAGGAACTAGTTGTGTATGCAACAGTGAACCTACTGAACTTTCCATCAACGTAGCTACAGAGCTAGTGGACCACCGAAATAGATCTGTCATAGGCCCTAATTAGTGTAGTTGTTGGTGTTTTGGCCCTTCATAAGCCCAAACGTTATCGAGGGGTCGGCTGCCACGGGGTCTGACGGTCACTTCTGACGGTCAGCTCCTTCTATGGCTGAGGCAAGTTCGCCCACATTCCAAGTGCAGGCGTCCCGGCTAGGGATAATTTAGATCTGAGTCGACACAGGAGGAGCCCCCTGTTAGTTGTGTTTGTTGGTTTCTATGAGGGTCATACTTTTTTCTAGTACCTTTCTGTACTGTTCCCATTTTCTTGGCTGAAGGCAAAGGAAAAAACACGAAAACACGCGTGCTTTTTTTCTTGCTTTGTCGGCCGCATATTTATAGGTGTCATAGTTGTTTGAACGTGTTTTTTTTGTTTTTCCACTGGTTATTCAACAAAGAAATGTGCTGACTATAAAGTTGAAGTTTCTGTTTTTGACCAATCTTATTTCTAAAGATGTTTCTAATTTCTAAACCATGAAATAATCACCATGAAAACAAGTTCGTGAAATATCTACCATAAACCATAGTTTTTTCAGCCACTTATCTAAACTAACGGTTCACGCTATCTAATGTCACTATGTTTTTTTTTTTTAAACACGTTACTTACCACAGCATTAGGATGATCCTGGAGACAACTGGATTTTAAAAAAAGGCTTGCCGGTGACAGACCCTAAAAACTATCCCAGACATCATTAGATATCTAAGGACATTTATGATCTAATGATCTATCTGCTGGTTAACTGACATTTATGATCTAATGTATAGTAAGTAACCAGCAGATTCATTATTTGTTGACCTGGCAATCCTGAATTTTCTATCTGCTGGGTCTACCATTCCCTTTCTGATTATACATCCTACAGGGTGTCAAACCCCCAGTTAGGTTTGTTGCTTTATGGTCCCCATAGGTCCTACCAGGTGGTGCCCCCCCAGTGATGTGAACGTTGGTTTATAACCCCATCAACTATAGATCTGGGTCAATTATAGCGACCTCACTGTCCTCCCGAACCCTGGAATCATGGTTAGATTGAGGAAATTATCCCCAAATGGCCGAACTATTCAGGTTAGTGAAATATTAGTTCATTTACCCAGATAGATATATCTACCATAAACCATAGTAAAAAAACGATGGGGCACCGTGTGGAGCCAGCATCTGGCTTGCAAGGCGGCTGCCTTGCAGCGTTACGTGGAAGATGAGGGGCCGGGAAGCTCAAGAGACGACCTTGAACCGGCCTGGCTATGGGGCAAAATCATGGGTGAAATGGGTGAAAAAACCTGTAGCTGGGGTTATGGATGTTCGTTTTTTCCCCAAATATCTATGTATAATATATATATATATTTATCCAAATGTTGGTATATCATAGGTTTTTATCCATCACAGATGTCTTTTTTTCAATATGTTTCTGATTTTTCAACCAAGAATACGTGGGGATTGAAACAAGATTGAGGATGACCGACAAGGATTGGGATCGAACAAACAACATTTTGTTGGGGACCAGTCATGAGGCACCCGGATATGGTGATTGATGAAATCTCCTGCTGTTTCATTTAGGATTTGCTATTTGGATGACCGGCCAGTCAGAGGTTATCATCAAATCAAAGTGGAACCACGGTGAACCATCGGAAAATGGTGGTTTAATGGGATTTAATGGGATTTAATGGCACTTACCCTCTGGTAAACTAACATAACCATGGAACATCCACCCATTTTTAATGAGTAAATCAACTATTTCAATAGGCCATTTTCAATAGCTATGTTAGTTTACCAGAGGGTACCTGTCACAGAGCATCTTACTGGACTAAAGATGCTCGATTCACACACCTGGTGAGTGAATTGAACACTTCTTCGCCAGGTTGCTAACAAAGGTATGAAGTTAGGGTTGATGGTTGCGCATTTGGGTACATCCTACATTTCGAGTAATATATGTATATATATATAATATCATAGTGTTTGGGATTGGGGTCCCTTAAGTTAAGGTTTTTCGCACGAATACACCGATACACCGATACTCCACGCTCACACCGATACACCGATACTTCTAGAGTCGTTTTTCTTTTTTGCTTGGCTTGCTTGCCAGTACTTGTAAAGAACTTATTTCCTTTCAAACTATCATTGCGGGCGTACTTATATGAGTGGCAAGTAGAGGCATTTTAAAGTAGTACTTGTCCAGATGCAAGAAAGATGTCTACATGCAAGTTGCATGTACGTATTTGTAAGTAGGATAAATGAAAAGATAGGTTACAGTATGTATTAAGGATCTTTCCCCAGATAGCGAAGCTATTGAGGTTTCTTACTTCAAGTATAGGATGAGTTGCATATTTGCGTTTTGCAGCGGGCATGTTGGTGCCGCTGCAGGGTGCCACTGCAGGGTGCTGCTTCAGGGTGCCTGCTTTTAGAGTGGTGTGCGCGCTTTGGAGCTGGTGCCGCTGCAGGGTGCAGGGTGCCGCTGCAGCGTGCCGCTACAGGGTGCTGCTTCAGGGTGCTGAGTGGCGTGTCCGCTTTGGAGCTGGCCTGCTGGTGCCTCTTTGAGTGGTGCGGTAGCCACAGCCCGATGTTGCCCTCCAAATACTCAACCCTCCTGCGACCCTCCAAGACCGCGCAAGCCTCAGCTTCCAACTCAGGGCGGCCTTCTTGCCTCAGGCACCGAGACAAGGAACCGCCTCAGGCCAAGTTTTTACCATTTCTTCCCGTCTCTTTTTCGCGCTGCTTGGAAAAGCGAAAACATTTGACCTGCAGGCATGGCACGCGTCGGTTGCTCTCTCAGGAGAGAAGCCGCTAGAACGTAACGAGCCAGAACTGCAAACATTCTATTTCAATTGGCGCCTATCTATCCCAGGCTGGCTGTGTGTGCTCCTCGTGACCTGCGCAGGCACTATGAGAAACTCCAGCATTTTGAGACTACATATTCTAACTTACTGGATCAGGCCAATAGATAAACAGATGGTAGGTAGCTCAAAAGGATCAAACGGGTAGATCAGATAGATTAGACAGATCGGATAAATCAGATAAATCCGATAACTCAGATCAGATAGGCAGATAGACAGCCTAGAAAGATTAAATCCTTAAGCCCCAGAAGCGTTGATTGTTTGCCTGGCCAACTGTATGTCTCCACATCCTCGCATCTCTTATAGGTTTCGTATCTTCAAAACTCCCGCCGCCGGGAAGTCATTGATGCTTCTGCAGGTGCAGCCGGCATGTGGTCACCGAGCTGCTGCAAGGCAAGATTCCCAAGAAAAAGGAATCCTTGTTCAAAGCCTTCTGGCAGCTTCCTCCGAAGGCATGGCGCGCGGGCATGGCGTGCGGGCATGGCGCGCGGGCATGTTTTACATGGATTGTGAAGTTTCTAACCACTTGGATTGAGCAAAAAAAACCAACTCCACATGTTAGCTTTCTTGCAAAGCATGTGGCCTGCCCTTTGGGACATGGTCAAAGCAAGCGCCAACATCAAAGCGCCAAAGATTACATGGATTTAGCGCCTAACAAAAATTATCATGGGCCGTATTGCAATAAGTTTCATCGAGCATAAGTGGTCTGAAAATAGCTGGGCCGCTGCAGGACCGCGACTTTGCCGTGAGCAAGGCAAAGCTCTACGCCTTCAGCGTGCACCCCAATGGGCAACGAGAGCTGCAGGGTCTCTCGTGAGCTAGCAGCACCGCTTTACACGCTCAACTGGTTGTCTTTTCGAACAAAACCTGGTCTTTCTTCGCCGGTTGGGCGATGAGGAGAAGGCAGATTCCTGGAATTTAGGTGGCATTGGGTAGGCTCAATTCTTTTGCGCTTGGAAGGCACCAAAAATATCAATGCTTTGGGCCATTGCCAGCGCCACAATCTTGCAACGGTTCCCTGGGCGCCCATTTGCAAATCTTGCATATCGTTGAGCATTGCCAAGGTCTACATCCGTGCGCCAAAGGAGTGCAGAGGCTTGCCTCGGTTGTATTCGTGGTGAGGCGTCGTCTGTGAGGAACCGACGGTCTGAAAAACAAAAGGCTTCCATATTTGGTTGTACCACATCATTCCAAATCACGCCGGATTTGAAGCTTTTAAATTTGACGCATACCCATACATACATATATATATATATATATTGTAGTATATATATATGTTTTTTCTGTAGATCTATGTGGTTTATAAGTTATGTATCCATGGTTTCTGACCTGATATTGAAGTCATCATGCTTGCCACCATCCTGCTAGGTTTCACTTCGCTCGTAGTCGACCTTCTATGCGACGGTCATGAAGTAATCGTTAATTTTGCAGGTTTTTTCCTCCTCATTTTTCTTCACCATCCACCATCCACCATTGCAAGGTTCCGGATTCTGGGGAGCCGCCCTGTTATACCATGATACCATTTTATGATCTTTAACATATATGATTGGATTGCCATCGATTTTGAGCGCGACGCCACGCAGCCCGTTCGGCGCTCAGCACCAAGTCCGCTTGACAAATTGGGCGAACCATGCATCCTGCGCACAAGAACCTTACGAAATTCCGGGGGTTCTGTTGCTTGCGCTGTTTCGAGAAGAGCGCCAGGACCTCAAGCTATTCTTCTTCTTCTTCTTCATCATCAAGGCTTCGCCACACAAAACTGCAAAGTAGCAACTTCTAAGGCCATCGGAGACGGCAAGAAGTGGCACGGTGAGCAATGCTGCCGGCGGAGGGGTTGGAAGGGGCCACCCGGGCTAACTACGTAGGTGACCCGGCCCAGATTTTCACCATGAACGGAAATGGCAGTTGTGGTGACTTTCGATCCCTTTTTGTTGGCAAGGCTGTCGCTATCCACAAAGGGCTATTGGAGCCATAGTCACGTTGCGGACAGATTGCACCTAGAGCCGTGGAAGCAGTTGAAGCACCACCAGCTTGCTGTGGACAAGGTTGACGAGGTCGACGTGTCCTCGGCCTCAACCAGCTCCTTGGATCGTTTGTCCAGGTGTGCTGACTTCGAGATTTTGAAGGAGCATTTGCATGAAGCTTAAACAATCACTTCTTTAGATCTCCGCGTGACAGTCAAGTGAAATAGACTTGTATAGTTTTCAAATGAAGCCCATCTAGATGGGCTATAGGCAGTTGAACGCACACCATTTCTCCAAGCGAAGCCGCGGGCGAGGAAAAGAAGCTGTTGTGTTTGCTGAAGCTTGCTTTTGATTTGCGATTGATTGTGCAATACGGGTCCTTCGAGGAAAAACAACTGGTCTTGAATCAGTTTACGCTTGCATCACCAAATCTTCTCTCAGTTTGATTTTTGGCAATGCCAGCAAGTTTTTTTTCAACAAAGAGATGCATGTTGTGGCATGAACTTGTGTATGTCGACAAGCAGCCGTTACAACATTGCCTTCTGTAGTCTATGCCATGTTTCGCACCGGCGTAAACACAGCGGTAACGGCGTCTCGGCGCAAACAAAGCGATCCGCGTAACGGTGTATTGGCGTATTTACGGTTACGGACCCTGATCCCCAACATGCTAATACATCAGTATCTATATCTGTATCTATAGAGAGAGAGATATATTAATATACATATATTAAAATATACTAATATATTTACATATTCATATATATATATATATTCGTATATCAATACATATATATATATATGTGTATATTATATTTAGCGGTTTCGTAAAACAGGGAAACCCCAGACCATCATTTTTTTTTTTCGTTTTTAGTATTGAAATCCATGGTTTTGGGGTACCTTCATTTTTGGTAAACCATCGACCCATTCCATCGGCCTCCCCAGGCTGCTGTACTTCTTTTGCTGCAGCGGCTTTCACAACGAGTACTGCTGGGGTCCAGCTGTTCAGCAGGCGCAGTACCAGCAATGCTTGGACGTGCACCTCAGTTTGTACAAGGTGGCGCCCCCCAGTTTTAAGTTGGTTTAAAACCTTAGTAACCCTTAACCATAGCAACCATAGCTTTAAGCATTATAAACCACTGTTGTGAGAATTATACACCAGCTTAGCTAAGTAGGTACACGCTTGATAGACGGCCGTTCCGTTTTATGGCAATTAGCCTCGCCCGCCACCAAATTTGCACCTAATTCAAACAGGCCCGGAAAGAATGATTGAAATCAATGATTGCAAAGTCCTTTTTCTTCAGTGCTTCAGCAATCCTTGCAACTCGACTCATTCAATAATTTTCCGTGTAAATTGCATTTTTTGATGACATGCAACTTCAGTTGGACATCTTTTCTCTTGAGAAAACTCTTTGTATATTTTAGGCCCTTCCTCTAACAGTAAACTGGATACCTTCCTTAAAGGTACCCTCCTCCACATCTGCCTCCTGAATATATCCCTCTTCTATTCCTTTTGTACCCCTTAGATTCTACCTTTTATACCCTTTATCTTTGGCAAATATACTCCTTAGAGTCTACCTTTGGTACCCCTTATCTTTGGCAAATATACCCCTTAGATTCTACCTTTTATACCCCTAATCTTTTGAATGTATTTTTTAGATTCTACCATTTCCACCGCTTATCTTTGGCAAATATATTCCTAAACCCCCTTAGATTCTACCATTTATATTCCTTTGCAAATCTACCAAACATACTCTTCTGAAACGAACATATACGCTTCTTGGAACCCAACATATACCCCAAATATACCCCTTTGGGACCCTAATATATCCCTCTGACCCTACCCTCTGGGGCTCCGTGATATACCCCTCTGCACCCCAGAAAATACACCTCTGGGGCCCATAATATACTTTCTGAGTGGGTATATTATGACCGGCCGGCGAGAGGGGTATTAAATTTATTATGCTGCAGAAACCTGTTCCATCTCACAGCTGTTTGTTTTATACTTGGGCTCCAATTTGGGCCCCAAATGTGGTGACCAAAAAAACGGTGTGTCAGCCGATGTCACCACGTACAGAAATCACCGCACCAAGATTTCACCATCAGATTCCATCATGTGAAACACTCTTTGGTTAGGACACCTCCGTATTCGGCTGCAAAAAACACGGTTTCCCCTGAAAATTCCCACCAATTCAGTGACTCCTTGTTGCCAGGGTCATTTTTCCCCATTTTGGTTACCCTCTGGTAATTTAACATAGCTATTGAAAATGACCATTTATAGTGGATTTACCCATTGAAAATGGTGATTTTCAATAGCTATTTTGACATAACCAGAGGGTAGTTGAATCTCAATTTTTTCATCATTTTTGATAGTCAGTCAGTTCGAACATCCCACTTCTTCAGGGTGAAATCTCCATTTGTTCATCAAGTCAATTCCTTTTTCTGATGGTTCGACGCCCCAATCTTCATTCTTTGGCAGTCAAATCCCATCGAATCCCGGTTCAAATCAGTTCATCTCATTTCGTAGTTGCAAAAATCATAGTTTCCTAATTAATCAAGTCATTTTCTTTCGTACCCAAACAAAAGTCATAGCTTCGGGCCGGTCCGGTAATTGCAACGGATTGGTTTAAGGGAAAATCGAAACTGGAAACCATAGATTTTCCCATGAAATATGGGGTTTTCCTGTAAATTTTCACCCATGCGCCCAGACGTTGATGCCGGACCCGGACGCTTGGGAGGGAGCACCTCGGCGGTCGAGGTGAACCTGGAGGTTCCAAGATGGGCTGAAGCAAAAACCATGGGATTTCCACGTTTCAGTTGGGGTAAAAACAGAGTTTCTGGCCATTCTTTTGCCATTCTTTTCAGGAAATCATGGAATTTTCTCATCAAAACGTTGCTTCGACTAGGAGGGTCTCTTCTAAAATGGTCAACGAAGCTGCAAGAGTTCCCGCAGCACAGGAGGTTTTTGGGATCCCAAGCTGCCATCGTGACATCCTCACCATAGCACTGTGCATCCTTGAAATTCATTCAGGAATTGGAAATTTCCATAGGAAAACCATAGGAAATCCATAGGAAAATGGTGGTTTAATGGGATTTAATGGGATTTAATGGATGATTACTCTCTGGTAAACATACAAAAAACTATGGAAAATCCACCCATTTTTAATGGGAAAATCCAATATGAATACCAACATTTAGTATAGATCACTGAATGGATAAGATACTTTCTGGTAAATGGATGATAAATTTTTGAATGGATTATAATCCCACTTACCCAACCTGGTAAACTTTCACATGACGAACTGGAAAATCACCATGCTATTAATGGGAAAATCCACTATTGCTATGGTCATTTTCAAATATTTTCAATAGCTATGTAACAAATTACCAGAGGGTACCAGAAGAGTACCAACATTTTTTTTTATCCGAAAAAAAGGAGAGTCAAAAGGGGTGGCAGACATGAATTGCCGGAATACTCCACTGACATTTGTTGGGAAACACGCCACGGATTTCAACCGTACATCTTTCCCAGACGGACCATTCCAATGCTTGGCTGGTGAATCACAATTGTTCAACATGTTGCATTGGAAATTTCCATAGGAAAACCATAGGAAAATGGTGGTTTAATGGGATTTAATGGGATCTAATGGGAGTTACCCTCTGGTAAACTTTCACATAACGAACTGGAAAATCCACCCATTTTCTAGCTGGGTAAATCCACTATTTCGACTGGGCCATTTTCAATAGTAAACTGTTAACGTTTACCATCAATATTCCCATTAATATCCCATTAATATTCCCATTGAATCCCTATTATTGTTGGTTAAATAACCATTAAAAACAGATTATATCCCTAGTGTTGGTCAAATTCCACGAAATCACCATCCCATTCACATTCCCATTCATATGTCCATTAAATCCTATCAATATTCCCATTCATATTCCCATCCCATCAATATTCCCATTCATGATATCCCAATATATCCCATATTCCCATTAAATCCCCATTATGCCACCATTCTCCTATGGTTTTCCTATGGTTTTCCTATGGTAATGTTTCTTGATGATTTCCCCATGTTGTCCACCCGGTCCACCCGTGGCCCGTGAGGTGGCGGATATTACTCCCTGGCCTTCAGCCTCAGATTGCGCTCCAACTGCTTTGACCCTGAAAAATCAGTCTTTTCCTTTTGAAATTCACTTTTTTAGGTGGTCACCCCCAAAAAGAGGAAACGTCAATCCTTGCCAATCCTTGCTAGTTTGATATCTTTTGGACTCACTCTATTTAAAAAAAACATGTTGAGGGAGGATTTGGCACGTATTTTTCCTAGACTCCTAAGTGGATTATGCTTATTCTGCGACCAAAGGGTCCGACAGCAATATGTGAAAATTCATGTATGGGCAAATTTCATGACATGGTTACCTTTTGTAGATTGCCCATCAAGGTGGCTAAAGAAATCCAAAAATTTTTCGGGTCAGCCACCAATCTCTTGTGGATAGTCTTATGGATTCTCCTTTCCCCACTACATTCAAAAAGATCAGAAAAAACCTGAACGATCTACACCTTTTTTGCTGATCCCCATGTTCAAAATGAAGCTTTGGTCCACCACCACCCATCCAACCACCAAGGTATCCTCGATGCTGTTTCCCGCGACTTCGTGGTATGCTTGAGGCTGGTGAATCCCATTTGATGACTGCACCATATCGGAATTCTTCAGAAGCAATTGATATATAATATAGCTATATATATATATATATATATATTTATAGCTATATATTATATAGCACCTCATATTATTGATATATAGCTATATATATATATATTATACACCTATAATAGCTATATATATTTAAAAAAACACTATAATATATATTATATACACCTATAATAGCTACATAAAAAACACCTCAAATAACCATAATTGGATGGAACCATTAGTTTACCAGAGGGTATCCTAATGGATATTCTTTTCATATTGGACTGTTCATGAGTTACCCATCATTGGAACATGAGGGCTGTTGGGTCCTTGCTTCCAATTTTAACCCAAGATTTCCAGTCCCCTAGTCATGTTTTCTTACAACGAAAGCCATTAAAACAACCAATCAATGGGAATTTCAGGATCCAATTGATGGAGGTACGTTAGTACCATATAAGGCCATATTTTCTGGGGGTATTCCCAAAAACATAGGCCTTATGAAATATAGGCCGTATATATGGTACAATGTGAGGCCCCCCAGTTATGTTTGTTGGTTTATAAACCCCATTAACTATAGTTATTTGCGTACCATAAACCATAGATATTGGAGTTATGTTCACCAACTGAACGCTCTCTTGGGGGCCTCACATTGTATTCAATCCCATTAAAACCACCATTTTCCTATGGTTTTCCTATGGTTTTCCTATGGTTTTCCCATTAAACCACCATTTTGGGGGTACCTCCGGTGATACCCTCCATTTTGATCGCGAAAAGGTGTGGGTGGACTCCCCGGGTGCCATTTTTCGGGGTGACAGCTGCGAGGCGCCTATACCCCGCTGGATGAAGAAGCAGATCGATAGGTGCCAGAAATTGATGTTTTTTTTTGGGAAGATTGGGATGGCCATGATGACCCAAAGATTTTGCAAGTCCAAGAATCTGCCATCCCACCTGCTGGAAAATATGTGTTATTCTTGTGTTCTGCCTTGATTTTTCTTGTAAATCCAAGATCATTCTCAAAAAATATATCCCCAAGTAAGATTCATAAGTATAATATCCCAAAGATTCCCAAAGTTCTTGTCTCAATATCCCCAGTTTTGAATCGGCGTACCCTCTGGTAATTTAACATAGCTATTGAAAATGGCCATTTATAGTGAGTTTTCCCATTAAAAATGGTGATTTTCCATAGTTATGTTAGTTTACCAGAGGGTAAGATTCACAAGTAAATCCGCGATGCCCAACGGGAATTCCCCACAAAACATCGGTGCCAGGGACCTGCAAAATATGGCCACAGCGGAGCACCCTGGTCTACCTTGGCCGTCCGCCGACGTGTTTTTCAGAACACAGGGTGGATGATGAGGGGTTGGTAACTGTCCCATTTTGGGTATATTGGACATCACCTGAAAAAGTAGCCATGGCATTGACCATATACCGATTTTGGTTGGGTGATGTTCAATGGGGACATTTCATGACCCATGTGGATGGTGGATGAAATCACAGATATTTAAGGGGCATTGAATGGAATTGAATGGAATTGGAGGAAGGAAAAAAAACTTGGACTTGGCTTAAAAAGGTTGGCTTACCCTCTGGTAAACATACAAAAAGCTATTGAAAATGGCCATAGAAATAGTGGATTTACCCATTAAAAATGGTGATTTTCCATAGTCATGTTAGTTTACCAGAGGGTAAAAAGGTTGGAATTGGGGTCACCATGTGCTGGCAGTGGCCAGGCAGAAGGATGCTTGGAAGCCCAGTGGAAGACTCTCTGGTGCAAGTTGTAGAGAAAGCCAAGGATTCTTGTCGTGGGCACTTTACGCGTTTTTGGTAAGTTCTGGTATAGCAGTGATCGCAGCTGCCCCTGATGTTCCATACGGTTTTCCCCTGTTTGCTCCTGTCGCATGTGCATGGGGTGCTGCATCTTGAAGTTTCATAAGGCTCCAAAGTTTTGAGATGGTTCTTGGAAACACACTGCAAGCAAGCAGAAAGTGATGCAAGCATTGAAGGTTTCCGGCAAATTACAAAATTGCCATCTACAAAAGTCAAGCACCACCAAACTACCAACTAAGAACAAACTCCAGCCCAACCAACCACTTCCAAGCCATTTTTTCCACATCCACCAAGCCATGTCGCGGCCATGGCCCCTGAAGCCGCAACCGTCCTTCCCGCCCTTGCCGCAGTCCCCGGGTGGCCTTGGGAGCCCCGCGGGCAGCGTCGGTGTGCGCGAAGCCCTGCGTAGCATCGCGGCGGAGGTGGAGCGCGGCAGACCCGAGACGAGCCCGACGGATCCCAGATTCGCAGTGCGGAGGAGGAAGTTGGAACAAGCGCGGGTGGAGTTGGTGGAGGGATTGAGCCATGGCGAAGTGTGGGAACTGTGGAAACTGGGGGGAACTGGGCTGTGTGTTTTTTGTTTGGGGAGGGGATACTTGGTGGCGAACTGTTGCGAAGATCCTTTTTTTGGAGGGATGAGATGGTGTAAGTTTGAGCGAAAATGTGTGCAGTTGATCCAAAAGGGGGGCAATGAGATTTTGGAAACATGGGATGAGGGTACTAAAAGGAGGATCCAAGATGATTGAAGCAAAGCTAGGATTCGAAGCAAGAGAGGTGGATTCTTAGCATCAAACACGGATCACGGATCTTACAAACTTGGGCTTTGTAGCCATGAGAAGAAAGTGTTGTTGAGATATTTGTAATGGGGAATTGTACAAGTTGAATTAAATTTCAAGCAGAGATTGGACCCCTCATGGAATTTCACGAACAACTCGGTTTTAAGGATTTGGCCACAGTGACTGTGTTATTTTTGAGGAGTGACTGTTGATTTGTTTGCAATTTCTTCGGGAAGGATTGGTCAAAACGTATTCGAACGTTACAAGCTTGTTTATGAATCCACCTAGAGTTATTTCATCACCATAAACATCCATAAACCATATCTAACCTCCATATCTAACCTCGACCTCGAGTGCAGTGCTTTTAAGACAGGGTGACCTTGGGTTTACTGACTCCTTGCTGTGCAAGCCAGAAGGACTTACAGTGGGAGCTGAACACCAAACATGGCAATAAAACAGCAGTATCCTACAGGATGGGGCCCCCAGTCGAGTTCGCGTTCAGTTGGTTTATAAGTGGGTGATTTCTATGGTTTATGGTAGATATAACGAACTAGTTCATGGGGATTATTTCATGCTTTATAATATAAACCAACCTATAAATGAGGGGCCCCATCTGTTTTGTTGGTTTGTTAGTTATGCGATTCCCATTTTTTCCCAGACATCATTGGAATGATTTTTAGGGACGAAATCTATAGGAAACCGATGCTTTCCCCAGTAAATATCAGGCTTTGGGCCTTTTATTTTGCGCATGTTGGGAGTATGTTGGGCCATGTTGGCTCTGTGTTGGGCACATGTTCAGCCATGATGGGCATGTTGGGACCATTTTGAATTTTGGGCCATTTTGAGCCCAAGTTCCCCTTCCCTTGGGCTAAAGCTTAATAGCTATTGCAATTGCTGACGGATCACCTTCGGCCTAGAAAAAACGCCTCCGACGGCACCGCCTCGGCACCTTCGGTGCGGGGCGGGTTTCCCCATCAACGTCTGGGAAGACATTGCGTTGACCGCCTCTAAGGAGTCCAAAGTGTGAAAATTGTCAGCACCTTGAGACCGTGCATGCTGCGGCTTGGCCATGCATAAAGCTGAAGGCTTTATTCTGAGTTCATTTCATTGGGATTAAGCGTCACTGATATAATGATCAATATACTGGTTGGTGGTTTGGAACATTTTTTATTTTCCCATATATTGGGAATGTCATCATCCCAACTAACTGACGAACTCATATTTTTCAGAGGGGTAGGTTGAAACCACCAACCAGTTATGGTTGAGATCACATTAACATAAGTCAAACTGACATAATGATTAATATAAGTCATTGATAGTCATTGGTGTTCTGTCCTGATGGGTTTTTATCATGGCCATGTCACGTCGCAGGAAGCTTCCAGCAAGTTCTTCAGGGAGATTGAACATTTGCGAAGGGCCCTGGCAAAGATGTTAGATTCTGCCAAGGACTACATGCCAGCAACTGGGAAACAAAAACATGGGGAAAAGGGGATGACATGGGGATGTGAAAGTTTTACTTTTGAAAATGGCATGGAGATACTTTTCCATGGTTTTTGAAATACCATCTGGTTATTTAACAGTTTGCCATGGAAAATCACCATTTGTAATAGGTAAACCATCTATAGATGGGTTATTTTCCATGGCTATGTTAAATAACCAGAGGGTAGTAACTAGGGGCGTCTGATGGGATTTATCCATTCAACATCAGGGAATTTTGGGTTGGGAACAATGGAGATTTACCGTAATAAAACCAACAACATGTTTTTGGGTCTGAACTTGGGGGATGGCCCCGTTTTTTGTGGCATTAAAAAATGACAATTTGGCGAACCATGATTTACCAGTGGATTTACGGGTAGGAAAATTTCCGTCAAACCCATAAGGAGAGTACTGGTATATTTTCCATGAGAACATCTTTATTCTACATCCGCAGAAATCTGGATGACATTAGAGTAATTTATCATGATATGATCATCCCACAAGCTGTTCAAGAATGTTCAAAGCCTACTGAATTTGGCTATCCATACCATAGGTCCAAAACATTCCAAGACTGCAAACTGCGGTCCAAGCCGTCCTAGCCGTGCTACCCTCTCAGCCTCGGACTGAGGCGCATGTTCTTAGAAACTTGCAGGAGTCACTACAATTGGATGTGAGGTATCTGACCAAACCTGACCCTTGGCTCCCTTGGCTGTGTGGATGTGGGTTTGGTACGAAATAAATGTTGGAAAAGCCACCGAATATGTGAGTAAAGCGATAGTTAATATAACTATCCCTAATTATCAGATAAATGGCTGGTATAAACCATCAATATATATATATATATACATACACAAAGGTTTCGGCTAGGCAGGGACCCCGTTCTTTCACTGCCGGCAGACGGACCTTAGCAGTCACAGCCATTGACCGCGGGCGGCTGCTGCGAGCTTTGGCACCGCCTTGTGCTCTCACACCCAGTGCAGGTGTGACCACCTTTGCTTCAGTTCTACCTCAACATCGAACTGGCAATTTGGCATCGAGCCCTACATTGGATCTACTGAACTGTTTCGCACTGGTATTTCCTATTGTATTTGGTGGCCTGTGAGAACGAGTTGATCCTCATCCTCGACTATCACTCCCACTATTTGGCTCCACATTTTCTCTTCTTCTTGGGCTTTCTGGGGTTTATGCACATCTCCAAGATTGCGCTGAACCTCCTCCTCCTTTTTGTGAACCATTACTCTGGCCTCGCGGCGGCGTGCTCGACGCCACAGAGCGATTGCAAGGCGCCAGTGGTTATTGCATCGAACTGGACACGTGGTCCTCTCGCGACTACAGCTGTGGGTGCTGTACCAGCGATTGAGCTCACACCACTCCAGAGATCCGGCTCTCCTTGCTCACATCTGGGAAGCAATGGATTCTGTGGATCCTTGGCGTTGCAAGTTTTGTATGAGGATGGTGAGCTCATCATCAGCCTATTGTGGCGGCTGTTGGGGACATTGGAGCCTCTGTCAGGATGCAACCTATGTCCACAAGAAGAAGAAGGACCAGCAGGGTTATACTCCCGACTGGCAGGAGACCCCATGGGAAAGTCCACAGGACACATGGAGTCCGAGGAGAAGGTCACCGCGCAAGCGCACGCAATCTCCGCGCAAAAGGAGTGTCAGTGCCCGTGCACGCCATCAACAAGACCAACCAGATTTGATGCATGGACATCAAGGTGGAAAAGGACAAGAAAAGGGCAAAGGCTTCGAAAAAGGTGGAGCAGTTGCCTTTGGGCACTTGCCGCCATCGACGCAATGGCTCTCGCCCCCGGCAGTTCCTTTTGCCACCGACTCCAGCACTGCGCCACAGTTGACCCCTGGCACATCTTCGACACCATCGACAGCAATGCAACCATTTGGGAAGTCCAAGATGGACAAAGAGGACCCCACACAAGAGCTCCAAGAGCTTCGGCAATTGCATGCAGAAGTCAAGAAGGGAGAGCAAACAGAGGAGATCAAGAAGGCCGTAGCCATTGTGGAAGCAATGACTCGGAAGGAAGACGCCAAGAGCTACAAGCAATTGGTCAGCCTCCTCGACAAAGCCAGGAAGAAATTGTCGGATATCGACGAACAATGGGAAGCATTTCGATCCCAATGGTCCACATACTTGGACAATGCAATGAAGATGTGGACAGCACATATCGACTCTTACGAGGAGGGCGAGAACAAGTTCGCAGAGAAGCGAGCAGAAGCTGCAGCGCATCTCCAACAAGTGCGCGCACAGCTCCACGAGGTCCACATCCGCACAATGCAAGGATCTGGCACCATTCCACAAGGAGAATTACAAGAAGGACAGACTGCCTTAGACGAGACAATGTCCATCGAAGATATGGACACAGTCGCCGAGCCCCACTTCAACCAGTTGAAGGAGGAGCTCAAGGGCGTGGTCCAGAGAGTCAAAGACACCATCGAGGACAAGATGTCCAAGAGATCACTCTCAGTGCGACAGCAAGAAGGAGAAGAAGTACAGATTGTGGAACCTGCGGACAAGAAAGCGCGGGATTCTCAATAGCCCTGACCCTCCAAGCGTCTGAATCAGAGGCCAAGTCTGGGCGTTGTTTGAAGACGCCAGCTTGGAGAGGCGAAGGGCTACATCTACGGCGACCTGCTTTTCGCCGTGTGGCATTTTGGCCGACAGTCGAGCTCAGACCTTTGAGAGGAGCTGATCAATGCGGCGTCTGCCATTTGATGTCCTCATCTGACATTCTGGTTGGAGCACGTTCGGACACCATTCAATGTGGGTATCATGAATGGGACCTGCCTCCAACACACTCTGTCAGTGAGGAACCAGACTACATCCATCCTTGCCTTGCACACTATCGAGCCCTCATCTTGGAAGCATCGATACAGTCTTCGTTTTTGACGACCCACCTCGATGCACTCTTCTTTGAGATTTTTGCAATGGACAAGAACAATCCCATGCCCATTGAAGATCTACATGAATTAGGCCTCCAGCTTGGACCCTGTGGATTGGTGAACATGCCCGACGAAGACACGGTCATGGTCAGACCATCACAGACAGCTTCAACTGTAGAAGTGCCTGCTTTCGTTCCTCATATGCAACGACCCAATCCAGAGGACGTTCCCAATTTGCCTGATCCTCCAAGTGATTCGGAAGGATCGACACATGGAGAAAATCGTGGACCTCACCCACGCCCACCCTTGAGGCATTTTCCATCTTGGGTCGAGGATCTATGGAACATACTACAGGACGAAGGAGCCACTGAACTCATGGAAGAAGGCCCTGTGATCTATGTGGGATCATACTATGTCAGCCATGAAACATGCATCAGACAGGAGCAGAAAAGACCACTCCGGCTGAATCGCAATTATGAGCAATGGTCACGGCAGATCATTGACACCTGGCATGACCATTTCGATCGCTCTTTGGGCTTCAGTGTGCATCGTGTTCAACCTGAACCACCGATACCAATCACTCAAGGACTCGTTGGCGTACTTCTGGTGGTCCAACATCCAGTACGAGGTCAAGAAGCAGTCCTGACCACAGTTCACCGTGAAGACCTTGAAGGGCATCACATACATGAAGTGGCACATTCCTTTCCCACCCTCATTGACACGCAAGAGGTTTTGGCACGTTCCGATGCATTATCACAATGTCGTGAAGTTGAAAGGCAAGGATTTGGACCTTGCTTTGTCAAAGCAGGAAACCATGTCTTTGACCGCCTCAGGCCTTTGCGTGTACATGATGGACTTGGTTTGGTCATTCGAATTCCAATCCTTCCACCTGATGATGATTGGGAGCATCGTGTCCTTGAGAGAATTCGCAGAGGAGAACCACCAAACGATCCGGCACATGATCAAGAGGAGGAAGAACCAGACCACCTCCACCTCATGGCAAGGCAGTTTCGATCAAGATCTCGATCGACAACATCTCCTTCTGCGACACCGACGTCCACAAGTTCTGCATGCTCGTCTGAATCTGGCATCTGGAAGCGCACGGTCGTCTTCAACCTAGAGGGCCAAGCTGAGTCGATGCTTTTGCCTTGGGACGACGGACAATTACTGCATGAACGGATTGCTGCAAGTTTTCATTTGGAGGTCAATGACATTCAGACCATCCATTATGTTGCAGAGCGGCCAGCAGATCTCGTGGAAATGGATCTCCAATGCATGCTACTACAACGCACCAGTGACGCTTTGCATCCTGCGCTGCCGAAGCTCTTGCTTGTCGACATGGAGCTATTTGTAGAACAAGAGATCCTACCATTTGCCTTCCGTCGGTATGCCGAATGGCTACCGCAGACGACAACCAGACTGACTTTGTTGCGCCTCCTTGGAGTTGCGACACTATGTCAACAGCATGCTGACAGATGTTCAGTTTGGCACAACAACCAACTCATCGATGCTGAGAGGTCCCATCCAATGCAACTTCAAGATGGGGATTTTATCCACATCTTCATTGGAGATGCAGATCAAGGGCTTTGCTATCTGCCTGATGGGGACCACACTGATTTACTTCAACTTTCTGCTCCACGAAGCCACAAGACTATGGACCAACATGTCAAGCCGATTGGCGCGACTTGTGATCACCATTGGAGAGCTTGGCCACGCCGCAGAGGACTTGCACAGGAAGAAGAAGATGATGGACACCATCAACGATTTCGGGAATTGTGGGACCGCCCGAATAGACGGAGCCGTGGACTCATGAATGAGGAAGTCCTGCTCTTCGATACATGGTTCCTCAGCAGCATGACCTCTCCGCGATGCTCATCACCGAGGACCATTGCCCTGCCAGCAAATGTGGCACTATGGCAATTACGGCTGCGACAAGTATGGAGGGATCGGCTCCACCCACACTGGTCATGTCGCTTTGTTCATGTCAAGCCTGATGGCATTGGCACGAGACATGGTGGACATCTCATTATACTACAGTATGCGCATCCAGATGAAGCAGGTGTGCTCTTTAGCAGCTACCATGGCATTGCTGCAGGTCAACCTGTTGACAGGTTTGCTCAACTGGTTCCACGCACTTTGACATTTGAGCTGTACCTTAGGTTCCAAGCTCAAGCTCGACTTTGCCTTGAACCAAACATTGCCTGCAATGCATTTCATGGCGACGTGCACATCTCACCGACTTCAGCTTGGATAGCGCAAGACGGTCATCACCTTGAACCTTTCATTCATCATGATCCAAATTTGCCTGATGCGGTCTCCCTCATGCAGCGAAACAACCATCCCAGAGGAGCACGCACGCATGGACTCAATCTGCCGGCAAGACCTGCTGAATGTAGACCATTCCAGTTCAATGTAGATGCGCCGGTTTTCAATCCGCTTGGCGTGAATCTGTTTGCTGCAAGTGAATTTGTAGACTCACTTCAAAGAGCCTGGACTGACGCTGCATTCTCATGGGAAGAAGAAGGACCTTCCTGTCAAGTTGCTGTTTGGTTCATTGACCACGGATGGCAATGGCCACATGCCACAGCATATCGAGTGGTACGTCTACATGAAGATACCAGTGACTGGGAGAGACGCATCATTCACACATGGCCGGAATACATTGTCCCGGGCGCTCTGATTGAATTGCACCTTGTGCATCCCAAGCCCTGGACGCATGACAACACAGTTGCCGGACATGTTTTGGTCATTCAGCGACCGCAAGAAGCATGGGTCACATCGCTCGTCACGGTCTATGATGACCTCAATTTGCTTGCACCACCAAGACAGATGGCAGTGACCACTCACGAGCACATACTGCTTGAGGTGATCCTCACAGTGCTGAATCTACTACATCAATGCATCGGACACCAACCAAGCTATCAATGCCAAGCACACTTCGACCAAGTTGAGCTCTTCATCGGCAGAGCACTTATGGGACGCTGTGGATACGGCATTGATATTCACATGAGAGCACTCCCCCGACCTGTGCAGGCTGAAGCACCAGTTCTCTTACAACTGAGTACTCTACTACAGCGAAGAGAGCACAGCCCGGCCCCCAACGAGCGCCTAACAACTGACACGGTGGCTCACGGTCAGTGGCCGTTGGAGGGGCCCACAGACTTCCCTGAGATTGGACAAAAAGTCCCACAAGACTGGGTCATGCCTGAAGGTCGGGTCATGGTGCGAATCCATCACAATGCAACTTCTGAGACCGCCGACACAGTGCCGACTTATGTAGAAATGCCATCAATATACAATGAGGACGAGATACAGCTGGAGCTGCGCGCATGGGGACATGATTGCCAAGTCTTTCTTTGCGGAGCCCATGATGATGTGTTTGTCGACTTCTCCTCCACTGGATGCATGGGACACTTCACATATGTCTTCTGTAGTCGAGAGACCGACATCAAAGACGGCATCCTTGTGCGAACCAGCCCCACAATTCTTCGTGATTTAGATCACACGAGATGGCTCCATTCTCAAGGCTACACAAAGGCAGTCCTCATGACAAAGGAAAGTTGGCACAACTTTCTGACATGCATTCACTTTGAAGATGTCCAACCCAAGCAAGCTGTCACCGAGCGTCCAGCTCGACAAAGAACGCCTTGGCCGAGCCAACAGGAGGTTCAGACCGACTTCACGCAGCCCTTTCAGTCACATGAGCAGTTGCCACCTGGAGCAGACTGCCTGATCCAGCTTGACATGCAAGAGCTACATACATTCCTGACATCTGCCAAGAAGCTCCTCTGGACGGACTTTTCCATACTGGATTTGCCGGACTTTGTGAAGACAGCGCTGGAGGAATGCCAACAGGTTGAGCGCATTGACAGATATGTGATTTTCACAGATGGTTCCTCTCAGACACAGCTACGCCACAAACCACCTCTTTGGGTAGCTGAACATGACATCAGTGATTCCTGGGCTTTCGCGGTCTTTGCAGAACAGTACGGTGAAGCACCAGGCCAAGCATCGCGCATGCAATTCATGGGCTTTCAGTGCCATCAGGTCTTGTATGACCCAGAAGCCCCACACTATGTCGGCACGGAAAGGATCAGCTCCGACTCAGCCGAAACTGAGGCCCTTCTATGGGCGGGCTTATGGCGGGTGGCCCAGAACGACAGAATTCCGACGATTTTTGTCAGCGACTCCCGTCTTGTCGGAGATCAGGCAGCTGGAGGGATCGGCACTCAGCTGGCCGAGCCACCATTCTATCGCCTCCGAGAGGTCTTCCAGACGCTTGAGGCGATCCTGCCAGGAGACCAGCTACGAGTGGCCCATGTGCGCAGCCATGCGGGTGATCCGTACAACGAGCTGGTAGACTGGTTGGCAAAACGTGAAGGACAAGGAAGCCTACACCTACCACGCCAGCCGCTGCACATGAAGACCTTCACACCCATGCTGAAATGTCTTTGGATGCTGGTACAACGACAATGTGATCTACCCAGGACTACACAAGGAGGTTTAGACGTAAGCCCAGTTCCTTTGCCTCCTATCACAGTGGTGACCGAGAAGCCAGCAACTAGTGGCTCTGAGTCGACTCCAAGTCCCGCGAAATTCCAGCTCAGTTTTGCCACGGCAAATGTGCGAACATTCTACAAAGGCAATGAAGGCTTCGCTGGCAAGTTGGCTTATGTTCGAGAACAATTTGTCGCTCATAAAGTCAACTTTCTTGGGCTGCAAGAAGCTCGAACAGAATGTGGCTCGTCGCTTCAGCACCGAGTTCTACGTCTTGCTGGCGGCAGTGACAAAGGGCAGCTGGGTGTTGAACTATGGATCAATCTTGGACAGCCATATGCTTGGCACGGATCGAAACCAAGCTTCTTTGAACGCACTGACTTTGTTGTGGTTTCGACCAGCCATCGACATCTTCTTGTACATGTCCATAATCATGATTTGGACTTTTGGCTCCTGACAGCCCACGCACCACACAGCGGAGCTCAAATTGAGGTACGGGAAGATTGGTGGCACCAGCTCACAACATTGGTCACCACCTACACTGGGGAGAGCCACTTGGTTGTCATGATTGACGCAAACGCACCTAGCGGGCCCAGCGACGAGAGGCACATCTTTGCCTTTGATGATCACGAGACGCCCACTACAAAAGTGCTTAGACAATTTTTGCAGGACTGCCAATTGTGCGCACCTTCCACGCTTGACATCCATGACGGACCACGTGGGACCTGGACAAGTCCAGTTGATGGTTCACTACACCGCATTGACTATGTCCTGGTGCCTTGCAGCTGGAAAAGCTATTGCACATGGTCCGGGAATCTGGAGGCTCTCGACTTTGGTCATCTTGGTGACCATCAAGCTGTTGCTGTTCAAGTTGACTGGCATGGTGACATCAAAAGTCCATTACCAAGGGCACACAAAGGTGGACATGATCGCACAGCGATCACGTCTGAGAACATGGAAGCCATTTTGCGTACATATTGCCCGAGTAGTTGGGACACTGACATTGAGCAGCATGTTGCTCACTTCAATGCCTACGTCAATCAGCAGCTACACACTATGTGTCCACCACGCCGACAAGGGCCAAAGAAAGTTTCATCACGACTGAAATCTGGGAGCTACGTGCCAACAAGATTCGCCTACAGCGAAGACAACGGCAACTCCAGCGAGATGCCCGAAGACAGCTCATGGCCGCGATCTTCAGATTGTGGAAATGTCCAGATGATGGAGACAGCCCCTCACTCCACATGAGCACGCCAGCTGACTCCACTCAACGTCTTCGACTGGGTCTGGAAATATGGGCATGCACCAGACGCATCAGAAAACAGCTGATGACGGCACGAGCACATGAGATAGCTGACACCATTGTGCAACTGCCAACTGATTGCGCACCTGCACACATCCTCAGCCGCCTGAAACCAATCATCGGCACGAGCAACCCCAAGCTGAAGCGTGCCTCACCACTTCCCATGATTGCTGACGAACATGGACACCCAGTTACCACCAAGCATGATTTATGCCGACGCTGGGTTGAATTTTTCAGCTTGATGGAAGGAGGTGAGCGAGTTACAAAAGAGGCGCTTCGGGAGCAATGGCGAGAGGGATTGGCCCACTTTATCCAGCAGGAACTCCATCTCAGCCCGGATGACATCCCGACTTTGACAGATCTTGAGATCGCATTTCGTCGAGTACGTCCTCACAAAGCAGTTGGTGCCGACAATGTTCCTCCGGAACTATGTCATCTGTACCCGACCCGTCTGGCTCGGGCGGTGTACGGACAGCTATTGAAGCTATGCACCCATGGTCAAGAGGCCCTGATCCACAAGGGTGGACTTTTGGTTGCTGCCTGGAAACGCAAGGGATCTCAAATGGCTTGCGAATCATACAGATCGCTACTGATTAGCTCCCACGTGGCGAAAACCGTCCATCGAGCTGTCCGCTCTCACCAATCACAGACCTACGAGTCCTTTCTTCAGGCAGAACAGATCGGTGGCCGTAAAGCCATACCGGTCACAATGGGCGTGCATTTCATTAGAGCTGCTGCAAGGGCTGCACGACTGTCCAAACAGTCGCACGCATTGATCTTTCTTGACCTTCGAGAAGCCTTCTATCGCGTGCTGCGGCCGCTATCAATTGGCGGCCCCATCCCTGATGAACTCCTAGCCTTGGTCGCGGCACGTTTGCATTTGCCCGCAGAAGCCCTACACGATCTACAACAACTGCTGCGAGACCCCTCGGGAACAGAACGTGCCAACATGGCACCACATCAGAGGAGAACGCTCCAGGCGCTTCATACTCACACACACTTCTGGATGCATGGACAAGATGACCGGATTCACACTCGATTGGGAAGCCGTCCAGGCGACCCTTTTGCTGATGTTGTTTTTGGCTACATGTTTGCCCGCATCCTGACAGAGGTGGAACAGAAGCTTGATGCCATCGGAGTTCTTGAGACGATCGAGGATGTCACAGCGACTGGACTCTACCCCAGCAGTGACAAGAACGATGTGGTCAAACATACAATGTTAGGCCCTACCTGGATGGATGACCTCTGCATCACCATCACAGGAGCAACAGCTGAGGGTGTTGAGAGTCGGGCCAGCGCGGCAGCCAGCATCTTGTTGGAAGTATGTACAGCGCATGGTGTTTCTCCAAATTTGGACAAGGGGAAAAGTGAAGTCCTCTTCAGTTTTCGAGGCAAAGGAGCACACCGGCTTCGGAGGAAGTATTTCAGCATGGCCCAGGGCCACAAGATGGAGGTCCTCACGGAGTACGGCCACCACACCATCACGGTTGTGGGACAATACAATCACCTGGGCAACATTGCGCATCACTCCGGGACTACTCACAAGGAGATCCGACGCAAAATTGCTCAAGGCAACGCCGCTTTCTCCGCACAGAGGCGCACGCTCTTCCAGAATCCCCACTTTTCTGTCCGACAGCGTGCTGATCTCTTCAACACCATGGTGATGAGCAAGGTCACATATGGCATGGACTCTTGGCTCTTTGAGGACAAGCGCACGAAGTCATACTTTCATAGTGCCATTTTTCGACTTTATCGACGCCTTCTCAAGATCAAGCCGGACGCGGCGATATCAGATGATATCATCTTGGAGCAAGCCCACCTTCCACATCCTGACATTGGACTGAGAATCACACGACTTCGATACCTGGCCCTGCTCTACAAATGCGAGACGGTCACCCCATGGGCAGTCATCCGACAAGATCAGGCATGGTGTCAACAGATCATGGAGGATCTACAGTGGCTATGGAATCTGGTCTCGCGCACCACCAAGCTCCGGGATCCGAGGATCCACTTTGCCGAGTGGGAATACATCCTCCGGTATCATCGGAGCTACTGGAAAACCATCCTACAGAGGGCCCAGAAACTATGCGCGCTCCAGCATGAAGATCGTCTTTTGCTCCGCACCTTGCACCGTGACACCCTGGCGATGCTGGAGACACATGGAACACTGCAATCAGCGCCTGTGAAACCAGCTCTGCTAACGGCACAATGTGCCAGCTTCTTTGGATGCATGCAATGCCAGAAGAGATGCCGAACCAGGGGCGGAGAAGGGGCGCACCTCTTTAAGGTACACGGCATCACAGCCTTTGAACGACAGTGGATCGCAAGTACGGCCTGTGAAGCTTGCCTCAAAGAGTACCACTCCTTCGACAAACTCCAAAATCATCTACGCACTGCGACATCCTGCCGTGCGGTGCTTCATGCAAGAAGACTTCAGCGACCCTTGGCGCCTGGCATTGGATCCAGTGTGAACTCGCAGCTGAGGGACCAACATGATGGTCTTTTGCCGGTCTTGCAAGGTAGTGGACCCCTTGAACAGCCAGTTCCACAACGTGCCATAGAACGCCATCACAACCAGCTCATGGAGGCTTTGGCAATTCTAGCGCTTGACTTCACTGGCTCTGATGCTGATGAGCTTTTCTTGCAGATGAAGCAGATCATTCTACAAGAACCAATTGGGTGGACGCAAACCAGGGAGACACTGGTCTATTTGGCCGACTCGCTCACTGAAGAGTTCCTCGCAGAGATCAGTGTGGGCAGATTACCATTCCTGGACGTTTTGGACCGCCTGGGAGATCCCAACACCTGGGGGTTCTTGACTGAGGTGCTCTATGACACGGCCAACTGTGACCACCTCTATGATCTCGATCTCTACGAGCACTGGTGTGCGACACTGGCCGATTGTGATTAACCTTGGGAGCGCTCCACACCCTGCCAACGCATCTTTTACAGAGAACGCATTGTGGTGCACGCATACTCTGGCCGAAGACGGCCGGGGGACGTACAGTGGTACATGGAGGAGATCGCAGCCTCAAACGGCATGGAAGATGTCATGGTCATCTCCCTCGACATCGTGATTAACGAGGAATGGGGGAACATCGGCCGTGAGGAAGTGCAGAAGTTTTGGTTGGCCGCCATCTTAGACGGCAAGGTCATCGGCCTACTCAGTGGACCACCCTGTTGCACGTGGTCAGCAGCGCGAGGCAAGGTTGATCCTTGCCTGCCCTCTGCCAAACAGAAAGGTCCACGCATCATCCGAACGCGGGCTGAGCTATGGGGAATGCATTCGGTCTCCATCAAGGAGATGCTCCAACTACATGACATGGACATGTTCTTCTTGGCTTTAGCGTTTTGGCGATGAGCGCCTTGCACATCACTGGTGGCTGCGGAATCCTTGAGCATCCGGGCGAGCCGACGGACAAGCAAGCTGCGAGCATCTGGCGCCTGCCGCTAATTCGGATGCTGCTTTCCTTAGAGGGTTTTGACCTTTTGGAATGTGCACAGGGCTTGTTGGGTGCTGACAGTGCCAAGCGAACTGGCCTGCTCACGCTCAACATGCCGACATTGCCACAATTCATTCGGGCCAATGCTCTCTGCCGCAATCTCCCCAAAACGCAAACGATCGGGGTTGATGAGCACGGCAATTTCCGAACGGCCAAGTTAAAGGAATACCCACCAGCTTTTTGTAGAGCCATAGCTGAAGGATTCCTTAACTCATTCCCTTCCCGTGAGGGCAAGGACCTCCAGCCAATGCCGCCAGCTTTTCTGTCATGCTGTGCCACTATGCACTGTAAAGACATGGGCACGAACATTGGAGCTGACTTCGCTGGCCAGTGCTAGGAGGAGTTAATTAAAAGAGACAATTGCAAGCTGCCGCAGCGGGATTCGCTTCTGGGTGCAGAATGAGAAAAATACATACACATAGTGACATAATTGTGTGTATATGCAGGTGGTGTATTACTGGTTGATCATGAGTTTTGGGCATGGCTTTTGAATCCACCCAACAAGCAATCCGCAGTGGAACCCTGGGCCGCCGGTGCACATCGGCCAATAAGAATGGGGATGATGTATATAAGTATATAAAATTATAACTGAATATGAATATAAAATATGAAATATGATAATATAAAATCATAAAACTATATATGATAATGTATTGATTAGATCCAATATGAATTATGACTGATTAAACTATGCCGACAACTATACGGAAGCCATAGCCTAGCAACCACACTTTGGTGTTGGTCTACTCTTAAAGTCAATTTCCCATTGCAAGGTCCGCAAGGTCCTTCCATTGTGACCCCATTTTGTTAACTCACTGAGGCCCCATTTCCCACTTAAATTTGTTGCTTCACCACACGACCCATTCGCAATTCACTGGGCCTGAATTTTGCTTAAGGCCTGGAAAGTCGATTGGGCTACTTGGTGGCTCACCCCACGAATCGTAAGTGGGTTATAACCCTAGTTCTAAGTGGACTAATCCTACTTACCCGACTGAATTGTGGGGCAAGGAGCTACTGAAATATCTCTGAAACCTCCCTCGGAAACTGAACAGCCAGCTGTTTAAGATCAGGACATTGTGTGAAATTATAGGACGAACATCCAGTGAAAAAAAGATCCAATATTGAGTCATACTCTACAGCGATTTTGGCAATTTACCCATACAAGGTGGTGCCCAGTGATGTTTTGTTGATTTATAAACCAGTTCCTACATAGTGGTGCCCAATAGATAGCTAAGTTGGTTTATAACTACAATAAGTAGGACTTATGGTAGATATATCTATAGTTAATGGGGTTTATAAACCAACTTATAACTGGGGGGTACCACTATGTAGCTGGTTCGCTTCGATATATCTACCATAGATCTGCGATGAATCGCTCAACCACCAGCGCCACCAGGAAGAAGGCGAAGGAGGCCCCTTACCTCCAGTGCCAGTGCCGGAAGTCGTCGATCAGAGCGAACTGATCGAACGATTGAAGCGACAAATCGCTGATCAGGACAAGCAACTGGTGGAGAAGAAGTATACCATCAAGGACTTGGGACCCTTGGGGGGGAAGTTGCCATTTCCTCCACAGAATGGGATGAATGGGAAGGGTTGGGGTGCCTTATTTACAGGCACCATTCTGTGGAAAGTGGTTCCTTTAAATGGATCAAGGACTTGGGGGTAAGTTCCAGCTGTTTTGTGGATGCACCTGGGGTTTCGGGAAAAAGGTGGATCTTTCTACAGAAGAAACCGTCCTGGACGCAGACATGTCTTTTTTTCCAGGACACACAGATGCCCAAAATTCCGAATTGTTAGCCGATGAAGAACGAACTCATAGGCAAACATTCATGCAGGATGGGCCCCCCCAGTTATAAGTTGGTTTATAAACCAACTTAGCTATCTTGGGGGCCCCATCCTGTGGTATATAATCGAATACAATGGTATACTACATGTCCAGGACTGGCCCAAAAAAGGGGTTTGTTTGTGCCTTTGGGGATAGTCAACTGGTCACTTAAACGACACCAACCAATGCTCAAAAATGGGATAATCATATATCATAAGTTAAATATATCCCAGTTTTAAGCCACCAATTGCATATATCAGAATACATATATATATATATATACATATACATGTGTATATATATATAACTGGGATAAGATTGGTATATAGTTGGTATTACAGTTATATATCCAAGTCTTATAGAGCAATTCTATCAATAGTTATATTTCCATCAATGACCATAGAAATAGTTGATTTACCCATTAAAAATGGTGATTTTCCATAGTTTTTTGTATGTTTACTAAAGGGTAAGCCATATTTATTTCCCTTATTAATCACTATAGATATATTAATCACTATGAATGGATATTAATCCAGAGGGAAACTCCCATTAAATCCCATTAAACCACCATTTTCCTATGGTTTTCCTATGGTTTACCAGAGGGTTTACCGCGCCTTTTCATGATAAACCAATCATCCAATCATCAAATACTAGAGTTTCAACATATATCCCAGCATTTTGTTGATGTGAACATGCAGTTCCCATATATTTCCCATAAATCACCATAAGATCAGCATAGTTTCATACTATCTTCCCATTTCCCATACATTTCCCATATTTTTCCCATATATTTCCCACATATGTCCCATAAATCACCATGCAGTTCCCATATATTTTCCATACATCACCATGCAGTTCCCATATATTTCCCATAAAATTTCCATGAAAAACCAATCATCCAATCATCCAATCCATATTTATTTCCCTTATTAATCACTATAGATATAGATATTAAGCACTATGAATGGATATTTATGATATTAATCCATTTCTGAAAATGATAAACCAATCATCCAATCATCATCATTGGTTGGATCATTGTTGCTGTTGCCAGTTCTTTTTTGATCTCATGAAACCCCGGAAATCGACCCTGGAAGACTGACTTGAGCCACTTGAAGACCGGAGCACTAATTTGCTTGTTATATTACCACCTGGTTATGACTATTTAATGGGCAAACCATAGGAAAATGGTGGTTTAATGGGATTTAATGGGATTTAATAGCTATGGAATATAGTGGTTTATTGGGATATCTATTGGGATATTTAATGGGATATTTCATGGAAATATAATGGGATATACCCTCTGGTTATGACATTCACAGTTTGCGATCTGAAAAATCACCATGCTAGTAAGTTCGGTAAACCATCTTTTTCGATTAGGGTCATCTATACCATGGCGAACTGTTAAATAACCAGAGGGTAAATCCCATGATACAACCCATAACCCATTACATGAAAAATATTGATATCAATTGTATTCCCCATAAACCATAGTTATCAAAGGAACTTGGGAAGCAATCTTCCAAGTTACAGATGACTTTTGTTGAAGTGACTTTACATCACATGACAATACATCACGAAGGGTGGTATGAGACTTTACATCACATAACAATACATCACATAAAAGAGGGGAACGAAGGGTGGTGAGACTTTACATCACACATCACATGACAGTACATCACATACAAGAAGGGAACGAAGGGTGGTGTGAGACTTTACATCACATAACAGTACATCACATCAAAGAAGGGCACGAAGGGTGGTGACTCAGGGAAGTGAGGAGGAAGGGTGATGACGAAGGGTGAGGACGAAGGGTGGTGACGAAGGATGGTGACTGAGGGAAGTGGTGACTAAGGGAAGTGGTGACTAGATACAATCGGGTTTGCCACGTGATGCTGCAAAAAACACATTGTAATGGCTGCATGAATGTTTCATGTGGTTTGCGTTGGGGAGAAAGCCGGGGCACGAAACCTTGTGTTTTTCTGTGTAAAGTGGCTGCAGCCAACAATGAAGGGTACCTCCTGTGTGCGGCGGGTGCGCTGCGATAGTGATTTGTCAGCAGATTTTCTTCATTTTGGCGCCGGTGATTTTCCTTTCAAAATTCCTTTTAAACAGTGCTTCAAAATCGTGTTTCTTTTTGCTTTGGCGCCGAGATCCCGTTTTGGAGGTGCAATTTCTCACATTGTTGCATGTAGTTATATTGTGTTTTGCAATTCCTTACCTCGATATTGCATTGTCATGGCTGAGTCAAGGTTGCTCGGTGCCGCGGCTGCATGCGTAATACTATTGTCTTTTGCAGCTGGACATCATAAATCGTTTTGGAGTGGCTGCATCAAGGCCAGCTTTGTAGTACAAAGAAGTACTGGGAAGTGCTTTGTGCAAGCTTTGTAGTACAAAGTAGTACTAGGAAGTACTGTGTGCAAGTCTTGTAGTACACAATAGTACTGGGAAGCACTTTGTGCAACTCTTGTAGTACAAAATTGTTCTTCGAACTGTTTGTGTGAATGCTGTTGAACGTTTGATCGCCCGTTATTTCTCTAGGCTCTAATCAGGGTAGTCCATGAGTTGTGCTAAGTGCCACCAAAGTGCTCCTAGTGGAAACGACACTTGGTGCATAGGCTGCACGGGGTGGGAAGCTCCCGAGAGTGAGCTCAAGGGTAGGTGGCACAGCGGTGGCACAGCGCTGCTGTGCGTTCACTGCCAACGATCAGGTTGTTAGCGCTGTGAAACATATCCGAGCGCTCAGGCTCTACTCAGCCAACGTCAAGAGCGCTGAGGACTCTCGCGCTGCTCGGGCCAGTGCTGAGAAAAGAGTTTCCCTTGAGAGGGACGATCGTGCTCCACTCCCTCGTTCCCGTGACGTTGAAGCCCGAGGCTCTGTCAAAGAGGGACCTGACTCAGACGAGTCTGAGGAGGAGAGTCAAGAGAGCTCCCACCACCAGTGCTTAGCCGCCAAGAGTGATCCTGCTCGCCGTCCACCTGAACCAGCCCATCCACCTCGAGGTCATCGAGTAGACGAAGACAGACAAAGGGACAGAGGGGCCGAAGAGAGAGAACCTGCCACCTCTGGCAAGAAGCGCAAGAAGCGTGACAACAGAGGCAACCGCGCTGGTAAAAAGCATCAACGCTTGCACCGTGCGCTTGAGGATCCCTCGATTAGACTCCATCGCAGGCCCCCGGGCCATTTCTGGGACAACCCAGACCGTATCTCAACGAGAGATCAACACCAATCAAGACGTCATGGATGAGGAAGACTTCACATTCTTTGACAATTCCAAGCCGGAAGAATGGGAGCTTTTGACTTTGCAAAGAGGACAGGTGATAGAAGCAGAAGTGGATGTTTCAGAAAATCCCGCAGAGGGCAGTGTATGGGCTGGCTTTTTGGTGCAAAAGGTCGAGCTCACTATTGCTGGAGAGATGGTTGTCACAGTGCGGAGCCTGGGAAGCGAAGATGCTCAGGCGACCAAACGGATGTCATCTCTCTTCAACAGGAGAAGAGGGACGATTCATCTCTGCTCCGCTATATGCGCTGGAGAAGACATCTACGCCTTGCACATTGGAAGTTTCAGAAGGTTCGACCTGGTGAACTTCCGCCGCAGCTACATCACCCCCTCTGTCAGGCAGATGATAAAGAAGTGGGAGAAGGAAATTATTCTGGTGGAAGACGATGGAGACAACATAGACCTGACAGGAACCGATCAGCTCGCTGGCAAAGTGCCGGGCCGAGTGGAAACTTCTCCCAAGGCAGCTGCACCGCCTGGGGACTCAAAGCTTCCCGCTGCTGGCAAGGCGGCGCCAAAACGTCGCGCGGCAGAAAAGGAGGAGGCTGGAGTTCCGAACAAGGAGATAGACAGGGCAAAACTTCGGGAACGTCTTGCTCGAGCCAAGGAAAAGCTGGCTGGGTCTGCTATCCCGGATGGCGCTGGCATACCGGCCTTGCCGCCCCGGGCTGGTGGCGATGGGGAGGCCGACGAGGCATCTTCCTCAGAGCCATATTCCGCCTCTGTGGGGGAGGACCTGCCGAGGGAGCTAGCAATCGGGACCGAACTGGAAGCGCTGGAGGATGGAACTCCGGGCGGCGCCCGACTGGCTCCAGCAGACCGAGACAAGGCCAAGAAGAGGAAGAAGGAGAAGAAGCGAGAGAGGGACCTCTCTGGCCTGGGTTCAGGCGTCCTGGCCAGGGTGGCTACAAGAGGTATTACTTCAGGCGCATTGCAAGAGCAGCTTCTTCATCGAGCAGCCGAAGCAGTCACTCGGAAGGAGGCCAAGAAGAAGGACCAGAAGAAGAAGCACAAGAAGAAGAATGCGGAGAAGCGGTTGATTCAGATCCTTACCAAGAAAGACAAGAAGGAGAAGAAGTCAAAGAAAAGGAAGAAGAGGCCAGGCCCAGGAAGTTCCGGAGATCCGGGGAACTCAGGATCCCCGACGAACAGCTCAGACGAGAACTCGTCAGGGCCTTTGGAGGAGTCCAGTGGAAGCGAGAGTGCCAACCTGGAAGCACCTCTCCGGAAGAAGTCCAGGGAAAAACCTGGGTCAGTACTGGCCTTATTGGTGGAACATGCCCGCCAGCAGCTGGATCAGACGTCCAAGGTTGCCATACAGCCGAACCTCAAGCTGGACCCAACCAAAGGGGTGCGAATCAGCAGCTACTTTTCCATAGTTGTCCGGCCGCAACTGGGAGCGGTGAACGCTCAGATTCGCGAGCT